CCTGTTGGAGGAATAAAACCAAAGAGCCATTTAATGCTGATCAAGGATCCTGAGGCTTGTTTGACTCGTATTTTTACCCTCCTTTTACCACTCTATGCAGGTCCATTTTTCCCCTGTACATACCGCGCTTCATTATTTTTCGACTTGAATGAGAATGAATTGGAAAGTGAGTCACATCTCCAAATGAGTAAAAGTCTCTCGGCACATCTCCTCGTGCCTAATGGGGAGACCGCTGAGATGAATGGAGCCCCCGTCCGCAGATCAGGTGCTTTTATGGGGTGTCAGCTTACTACACAGACACGTAATTGTTGGATCATGTCTTTTGATGACCCAGTCCGGCTCAACAGAGAATCATTATCCACTATGTGTGATGCACATAGTGGACGTTCTGCTGTGTGAAGGGGGCTCCTCTAGGCGCTGGGTTTGTTCTTAAAAGAGGAAGTGAGATGAAGGAGATGTGTTTGTGAAAGGGAGAAAACAAGAGGAACCTCAACACCACAAGTGAAGAAAAAAACAAATGCAATCCATCCTGATGTTTATGTATGAACGCTTGGCTTTTTAAACTGTGTATGTGCATGTGGCGGGGGTTGTGTTTAATTAGCAGAATATGTAATTCCGAGATAAACAAACACTTGTCTGGACCTGTGGCTTTTTCATAATGGCGAAATGTAACATGCAACATTAGAGAGCAGCCAATTTGCGGATACTACAGCAAGCTGGTGCTCTCTTCACAAGAACCGAGCGATAGAGGGGAGAGAGGGGGGGGAGAGGAAGCCAGGGAAAGGGCCCGACTCTCTTTTCAATAGCTGAGTGACAGCTTGGCCAAGCTCTCTGTATACATTAATAAATTAGTATTTTAATTTTGTCTTTGTCTGCAGGAGATGGTCTAGTACTTCACTATGTACCAACAACTGGCTGTACGCTGGAATCTGCCGTTGAGGGTCCCCTCTGTTGACCTCTGCAGCACAATCCCCTGGCAGGCTGGGGAAACAGTTTAGTTTTGATCCTTTCGACTTATTTGAATCCTGACAAATATGCACACAACTGAAAGGTCATCACAGTCATACTTCATCCTCTGGAGCTATTCCGAAGACATCTGCACAACAAAGAGGCTTTTTCACAACCTGACATTAGACCTAGCTGCTACAATACCTCATTAAAAAGGGCCCCCAAAGGGATAGTAAGGGTATTAAATATGATATATATACACACATAGAGAACGAGGCCTCCGTATTAATTACCAAATATGCCCTGAAGTCGTTTGCAATTTCACACTGACACAAACAACCTCTCCTTGTTCAAACAAAGATATACATGTCTGAGGCAGCTGATCTGAAATTAACGTAAATATTGCATGAGATATCCATTCATCTGACAATCAGAGGCAGGTGATACAAATAAAAAGATTGTTTTTATTTGTGCATCACAAAAGCATCCGTCCAACACCTTCTCTAACTCTCCCCACTTCTCACACTTTGCCTCCAACTAATTCACCTCCGAACCCTCCACCTGGATCCCCCACCCCACCCATGGGCTGCTCCATAGCACCTCCTGCTGCTGATGGTAGAGACTTGCCCCCCACTCATTTCTGTGTGGGATGGAGCAGTGCTGAAAGGTAGGCAGGATAAGCATGGCGTCTCTGACTGGAGTTTTTAGCCAAGCTGTTGCAACTCCAAAACTGAGTCCGCTCGTACACACCTGAACTTTTGAAAGAACATCCATAACATTCATCTGTTTGCAACTTATATATATATCAATATTCAAATGACTTGTAAATAGACTATTCTGCACTATGTCTATGATATTTGATTTGATTTACTTGCACTATTTTCTGTTTTATTGTGTGGCACTGTTGAAGGAGCCTGTAACTTAAGATTGTCATTGTCATAATTACACTGTAGCTGTGTCTAACAAGTAATATGTAATGTAATGTGTACACATGACAATAAAGGTCTTGAATCTGAATCACAGTTATTTATGAAATCTTGTTTTGTTCTTTGCAAAGATTCCTGTCCACACCAGCACTGTTTCAAGTCATCGCAAAAACACAATTGACACCATGACAAGAAATCTGCCCTCATTTGAGAGCCCTCATAACGGATATAAGAATGCATTGCCACTACGTCTAAGTCTAACTGCAGTGAATAAGGAAAATACTTCAGAAGTCAGGATCAACCACACACGCTGATGTCTGTTACTGCACTGGAATGAGCTCATGTGATCTAATCTGGCCACACAGAGGCTTCTCTAACAGTCTGGGCTACATATATTTCACAACAGCATCCCATCCTACGCTGCTTCAAGTCAAAAATGAGATGACGCATTCTTTGATAGTGTGTGTGCAGCTTAATCACACATAACGCTGGAGCATACACAACTGCAAATGTTGCACAGCCAATTTTAATTTCCTGTTTGTGAACTTAGCCCAGTGCTGTGCTTTTTCCCTGCACACTGTGCTCTAGTGAGAGTTGCATAAGTTCACATCTTGTTTTTTATGATCAACCACAAAGGCGAATAACAGAGCCATCCTATAATCACAAGTCAATGAATGAGAGAGAGTCTGACGGTACCTGAAGGCTCTGCTGCTTGTCGTTGGCTTTGGGGGATTTGCGGCCAGTGATTTGTTGCAGTTGTTGTTGTTGTTGCTGTTGTTGTTGCTGTTGTTGTTGATGCTGCTGGAGGAGTATCTGCCGAGCCACTTGGAGAGCCTAATAAAGACAAATCCATAAAAAAAGATTCAGTCAAATAGAAATCCTAAAAGTAGATTTGCTAAAAGTCCCTTGAGGACACTTTGATTCCTATTAAGAGAGCAGATGTATCTCCTTACAACAATATGCCCTTGGCCTTCTGATGGATAACAAACAAACATTAAGACTTTTCAGTTAGAGCTGGTATAAACAAATCCTTGCACAAGCAAACCAGGAACAATGCTTAGATTAATTCACAGAGAGAGGGAAACAAATCCTCTGCTGAAGAAATATTTATCTGCATTTACAAGTAAACACAAAGACACTATCAGTGCGTTTGATCCTCCTTTAGCTCGGTCAAACTCCCCAAATAAAAGGCTTTACGGCCGCTTTGAATATCTGTTAAAGGACACGGCCTTCTCAGTGGAAAACAAAATACAGTGCAGTCACATGTTTATTGCTCCAGCTACTCCCTTTTCCCTTACGATAAATAATCAAACATGCCATCCAGAGCAAACAAAGCTGGAGAGAGCCGGGGGGAAAAAAACACAGTAGGTCTAGAAAACGGTCAGCGATACCAAGAAAAGCAAGCGTTGTGTTCCCACAGTGAGCTGGCCTGCCTCACACCTCCACCAGTAAACCATCTGGGTAAATAACCGGCCTCATTCTTTCCGTGTTCCTCAGACGATTGCTCCCACAATTAAACAAACAGCCGAGCTCATCCCGCAGACAGACAAGCTCCCCGAGTCTATTATATGAGAAGTTCAGAATTTGTAAATGGCAGAATGTTTAAGAAAGATAAGCACAAAGACAAAGTTACAGCGACGTGTGAACAAGTGAGTGAAACCTGTGTGAAAGTGAGATATCTTCAGGGAAAGGGCAAATGGAAAGCTCTGTGGACGGATGAAAAGATAAAGATGGGTCTGAGAGTCGGCCTTAGTGCGGGAAAAGTCTCACAATACTTTAAGACGGGGAAGCGAGAGACAGTTAGGGTTTGGAGCCAACAGCTGTACGACGGTCTGTGTGTGTGTTGACCCTCCCAAACACACGGCTGTCGGGTGACATCATACATATGACCACAGGCTACAAAGAGGCCACACTCCTGGCATTTCACCATGCTTAACTTTAAAGTGTTTAAACTATCCCTGTCTCTGTCTGTCTCGCTTGTTTTCTAAGCTGTTGTGTGAAGAGAAATCACGTATAAGCAACGCAGCTCATTCTTCATGCCTCCGCTTTGAATTTGAGCGTGGGGGGAAGCCCCTTATGTAAGTACACTCATAAAGAAAGGGCACAGATTGAAATTATGTGAGAAAGACAATAGTTGTACAGTCATATAGAACATGATGGTATTTTTGTTGGCACATAGTGAAACCTATAAATGATCACAACATCTCATATTTAAATATCAAAAAGATGTTAGGATTAACTTTATTTAATTTTTTGTATTTAGCATTTTATTTGGGAAGGCATTCAACGTCATTTCCACTCAAAATAAAACAAAGTGTAAATAAACGATACAAATAAACACAGAATGAGGCGATATTGGTTTATGAATACATTGCATTGTTGTTGACTAAAGAAAATACTAAAAAAGGAAAATCAATATTAGTATTAATAATATGATTTGGGAGATGTGTCATTTTTTTAAATGACAATCTAGCAAGAATGTTGTTTTTTTTTCATTGAAAGCCGACATCATAATGTGAGAACGAGAATCTCAATGACTCAGAGTGAAACGCTGATAAGTCATGAGAAAATTCAAGAGACCAAGAGAAGCCATAAGAAAATAATTCTCAACACCCAGGGCGTGGTATTACGGGCACAATGAAGAGTAAACATAGTGACTGTTTTATTTTCCTTGTAACTGATGACACATGCAGAAAAATGTGTGTGTGTGTGTGTGTGTGTGTTGGAACTAAGACAGTTGAGTCAACAGGATATGATAGGAAGTTCAGACAGTATTGGATGAAAAAAACGGTATACTGTACTGTGTATATTTAATCAATGATCGGTTACTATAAGTAAATAAGGTCATGGTGACATTGTTGACAAAGTGGGATGTTACAGAGTACAATCATATTTTATAAATGACTAGCTAAAACGTTTTTCTTGACAGGGTTGTAAAATAACTAGTCGCCCAATTTCATTAAACTTGGTGGAGGGGTGTTGCATGCAAGTCCCTTTTTCGAGCAGATCCGAATCAGGCTGGATCCACAAATTATAACTAATGAACACACTAAATTCAGAAGAATGACATTCCAACACAGAGAATGGGATTATTGGATCTGTCCTTTGTGAGTGCAATCCTTGTTCCTTGTTCCATAATGTTACTAACTAACTGAAGACAAATATTCACGCCTATGTTTACCGTCTTTGGATATTTTCTTTGGTAACAATGGGAAAGTTCATTGAACATGGCATAATTGTATGAAAGATAGCCTTCTACGGTTCATGTCAACAACTTCATTGAATTCATCTCAATTAAAGTTAGGGCAGGTATGATGTGATCAATCACATGCCGTGAGTCTGAGTCCCTCACCCTGTTCCAGTCCCGCCTCAAAACCCACCTCTTCAACTCTGTATCCATAAGCCCCCCCCCCTCTCAACCAACTTCCTCCTGACTGCTTTTCTGTTTTGTTTCTTTGTTTCTTTTTGGTTTTGTTTTGTTCGTCTACCCTCCCTCCCAAATGTAAAGCGTTATTGGGTTCAAGAAAAGCGCTACAGAAATATAATTTATTATTATGCTTGCATATGGCGTCTCAATAACTCTCCAAAGACACAAGATGAGTAAAGAATGTTGGTAGCAAGAAAGAAAAAACGGTGAGTGAGCTGAGAACCTGCTTGTGAGGTCAACGCTCCACATTTAGGAATGTTGCCGTCACGTTTGTATTTTTAAAAGGCCACTAGAGCTGGCATGCCTTTGAGAGGCCTAATGCTAGGCTAAAATAATCTATTGTCAACTGTCACAGCCGTGTTTACACAGCACCCACTCCTCTATTTCAGAGCACTCCCCCTCCTCCTCCTCCTCCTCCTGGAGAATGTGTCTTCTTTTGATCCCCCATTCAAAAGGTACTGGACTCTTGATGGATATGTAAGTGTTAGAGCTGCTCCAGACTGATATGATAAACACATCTGATGTGAGGGATAAGGAATATGAAGCACAGAGAAAGTGAGACACAATGTGGACTAGGTGCAATTCAAATCCAGATTAGGTGACAGATTAAGTTAAACTGATCAATAAAGAATGTTCTGTTTGGATATTGATAACTACAGTCAGCCTGGTAGCACCAATGGCATGCTAATAGTCATTTTGTGTGCTATGGCTACACACTTTTGTGTTGTCAATTCACGCTATGGCAATACAATAAAATGAGGGCAATGTGCTCTGAATGTCGCGTGATGTAATAAAAGACGTAATGTATGGGTGGGTCAAACAAAGTCTGTTCGTGTCCCATAAAAAACCCAACAGTCAACAGTTGTTGGAACAAGTAACGAACGCAACTTTAACAACAAACATCTTTATTTGTACTCAAACCATGACCTTTTCCTAACCCTAAACAAGAAGTTGTGTAGCCCTAATCTTAGCAGGTAGGGCCGTTTGAAATCCAGTTTTTTAACCATGTGTTAAAATCCTCCTCTATGATTCCATATGTGGCGGTTAACGCGGGCGAAATATTTTGTGAACGTAATTTACGTAATTATTTAAACCCAAAACTTTCCCTAAACCTCACCAAGTGTTTTGTTTGAATTATCAATCATAAACAAATTTATAAAACAGCAATAATGCATTCCTATGTGTTAAGTAAGGAGTGAGAACTGCGTTAAATGATACGCACAAAACTTAAAAAGCGTAAAAACTAGACAAAATGTCTTCTAATACAATCATGTTGATGCAGTAGATTGCCTCAATAACTGTACTATAGTTAATGTGGTCACGTGGACGTAATCATACTTTAACAAATGATATTGTATACTTTTTATTGCATTAAGAGTGAGTTATGGTATTAAACAGGATTTGTGATATTGTGTGTCTTGATACATCGTTGGAGGTGTTTAAGTATACAAGACAGCAGCCCTATTAAAATCCAAACTGAGGTTGTTTGGGAGGCAAGCTTGTCACTGCCTATATATACGCCTACATCCCCCATCAGTGTTTCCGTCTGTGTACACACACACACACACACACACACACACACACACACACACACACACACACACACACACACACACACACACACACACACACACACACACACACCATGTAGGGAGTGAACCCTCCAGGTGCTTTTGATTAGAAAACACCCTCCAGCGCATGACAAAGGTTTTTATCAGCAACAAAGCCGGCACAATTTGGAATCCTTGTCATTTCCAGGCCTCTTTTATATTCACCATTTCAAATGTGTTCAAAGTTCACACCCTCTTCCCCCCGTTAACGCAACTTCCTCAATAAACAACAGGCGTTTTTTTTATCTGCATCTACTTTCACACCATATTAGCGGATAGAGGCAGGAGCGTCTCTTACCTCCCTGGGGTACCCGCTGTGATAAGGGAACTGCTAAGTACTGGATGTCTTTATGTGCAGTCTGCACATGTGGATTATTTACAGGCTTTGGGGTTTCCTGCTGCTAAAGCCAGCTCTGGGTGTCTTACAAATCCCAGCTCAGAGCATTGCCACACAGTCAAGTCTGCTCTTTGCCGAATCCCTCGCTGCACTACGACATAAAACAGACATATTCCAGATACGTCTCTCTTTAATCTCATTTAATGCAACTTTAACTGACCCACAACAAATCCAACTGTGAGTAAAGGAGCGGGATCTGAGAGAATTTGCCTTAGCACTCGTGTCACATTCTCTAAATGACAGACGTATAAGAAAGGGGGTGTGAGCCGAGGTCACGAGAAGATATAGAGATGCTGTTAAATGCGTAGTGGGGAATCATTCAGGGTTTCTGGAGTGAGACGGTGAGGAATGGGCCACCATTGTTTGTTCAGTCCCATCAACAGAGAGACCTCTTTACTTCTTTAAACGTCCTGCTCCTCTCGCCACAGCTGGGGAAGACCTTGAACGTGAAATGGTTTCAAGCAGATTGCTCCTAATTGCTGGAAGATGTGCGAGCAGGTGTAACCGGATCCCTGCGGCCACTCAGAGGAAGGGAGACGAAACGAGATGTGCATCTGCTCGTGTGTCTCTGCACTCGTCTGTGTGTGTGCTTCGGTGTATTTACTCAGCGGCCACGTTTCGCCCGGCTTTATTAGTCAGGAGAGTGTGGCTCAGAGACAGCCAGCAACAACACGACTAATAGGTTAGCTCTTAATGTAGTCCGGCTCTGAAGACTCCGGGCCCTCTGTGGGGTTGGAGCACCGGCGGCCTAAATGTCAAGGTTACTGCCGTGACTTTCTGACTGATGGCACGTCTCAACTCACCTGACATTTATCACTTCTGCTGTTTTCTTTTCAAACACAGGACCCTCTTCTGCTGAGTGGGAATGGAGCCAAGAAGCCAGCAAGGTGGTTGAGTTGTCTACTTTGCTTTGGAAGGTTGCTAACTGAGTGATGTTACTCAAAAGTATGTCAGAGTTGTGTGATGATGTCTTTGTGTAGGCTGACTGGTAGATAGCATCGCAAGGACTGGAATAATGCAGAAAACAAGGTCTGGAGCAAACGCATGTTTATGATACTTAACGAGTTTAGTTCAGCAGGATAACTCCACATATTAACACCCTTAATATTGTTAAGCGTAAATGCAATTGACAGAAGTAAAAATTCAACGTTATGCTAAACATGATTTTCACACGTTTCCACCACAAAGCTAAAAGGCAGCTAATGTACATCGTGATGACGTTGAAAAGTCTCATCTAGCCATCTCAATATGATTGTATTTTACCTATAGCCCTTATTTCGGGAATATAACCAACAAGCCATTTTAAAAAACATTGACTTTGAGACAAGGGAGCCAGTAAGTGCTAACAAGCTAACTCTGTGGGCAGCCATGATAAGAGCTGGTTGAAGGCAAAGAAAAGCTCCACTGCTTCTCTCTTATCTCTTTTAGCATGAGGAACAACAACAATGGAGCAATCTTTATGGCGGCGACATTTAAAGCAACACTTCATTTGGTGACCATTAATATCTGCTGTACCATTTAATCATGCGTGATACATTAAAAACATCCCTCTTAGAAAGTGTGATGTTGTGTCCTCCAGAATTATTCTCCGTTACATCTTTCATTTGGACATCAAAGTGTTTGGGAAAAGGACAAAGGACAATTTTCTTTTCACTTCTTGAACTCGGTTCAGGATCTTCTCTCCCAGTCCCTCCTTCTACGTTGCTAACATGCTAAGCTAATGACAATTCCTTCGAGAGGCTGCCCAAGGAAACATCCAATCATTATATAAATTATAAGGGCTATTGTAGCCAGTGGCAATCAATCCAGAGAAATATGGTTCTTTATTCAGCATATGACAGATGGAAGATGTGGTGTTAGGGAGGTGTTGACTATGCAAACACATAATAATTGAAGTCACTCGTGGTTTTAATTGAAATGCATATAATTTTTTGTAATTTTCGGCTTGGGGTGATTTTTAAACATGCAAGCGGATAAGCAGTGAGGATCATGTCTATTTATATTAATTGCATTTTTTTGTCTCTTTTTCCTGAGTAATACAGACGTTTATCTGCAATGCAAAGCAGGGAAAGTCTGGATCCCCTGTAAGTATATAATTAATGCCATTTCCAAAAAGCCACTCCACATGGAAAACAGGCCCTGATGCTCAAACCTTGTGCATTACAGGGTCCTCGCAACAACACTCTCCAGTCTGTGTTTAGATTTCCAAACTAATTCATGTAGAATACATAAATAAATCAACGTTTTATACCCACTTCAAACCATTAGATTCCCTTCCTTCGCTGCACTTTTCAACTAATCTATTAATATGTATGAAAACACTAAACATTTGGAATATCCACGTTTAAACAATAAGGCAGTGTGTGTGCACTCACATAAGACACAATCTGACTTCAATAAAAAGCACATTTTGTTTGTCCAACATCCCCCCCTCTCTCCCGTGTACCCCACCCCCCCTTTGCTCTCTTCCCATAACAGGTAATGCAGCGCCCTGACTAATGTTTTTTAGCGCAAAGAAAATGACTGTAAGAAAAACAAGACGAAAGCAAAGTTATTAACTGCGAGTGGAGATAGAAGAGAGGGGGCTGTGAAGCAGGACTGATGATGGAGGGTGGTTGGGGGGTGGGGGCGGGCAGACAGATGGGGGAAGAGAATAAGTGTGTGAGAGCAGAGAAAAAAAGGGGTAAAAGGGAGATGGAAAAAGACGAGACTAGCGAAGGGGAGGAGGAGGTGCAGGAGGTGCAGAGGGGAGGGTTAAACAGTGCCCCGACCGGGAGGTATCGGGCGCTCGGAGCCTGGTACAGAGGGGTCACCCCCCCGCCGCCCCCCGCCAACCACCCAACCCGAGGTCAGCTCAGCTATGCCGGCCTGACAGCTTCCGTTTCTGTGTGTGCTCGCCGTTTGTTTGGATTCCCCCAGCCTTGCTTAGCCAGCAGCTTAACAACAGATGGCTGAAGAAGGCCTCCATTTGAAAGAAGGCGGCCGGGATCAGGAAAATCACACCAAGGGAGAGTATACACAAGCTGTGCAGACAAACACAACAAAGACACAACACGAGCACACGCCACATGCAAATGGACATGGATTGTCAGAGTTTGCATTATGCTGCAAAAACGAGAGCACGACAAATAGGCTCTGTGGTCATTGCCCTCCTGACCACACCACACACCACACACACACACACACACACAACACACACACACACACACACACACACAGCACACACACACACACACACACGACACACCACACACACACACACACACAACACACACACACACACAACACACACACACACACACACACACACACACACACACACACACACACACACACACACACACACACACACACACACACACACCTCCTGTCTCTTTCTCTCCTCTCAAGCATCAATTAATGTAGAGACGAGATGTTTGTGAGTCGGCGAGTTACTCTGACATTAATATAATCACAAGTCATAAAGTCATCTCTGTGCAGATTAAAGCATCCAAGGAGGAGGAGGAGGAGGAGGAGGAGGACAGAGGCTCTAAACCAGGGCTGCCCAATACGTCGATCGGAGGTAGATCGCATGGCATTGGGAAAAAAAGTTAGCCTATCATCCATCCTTACTGTAGGTGCCATAATGCTACTTAGCCCAAGTTCATTATTTGTATTATTATTATTTGTTTACGTCACTTTTATTTGTTTGTTTAGCACTTCCGGTAATTGTCACATGGGTGTGGTTTGTCTATTTAAGTCACCTGTTTCATGTCGAGTGGGAGGACAGAGGGTGAGCTTGTGCTGTCATTTTTTCTGTTGACAGTTTTGTCCATAGTTACTATGTTTTGATTTTGTTTATTAAATATCCTTAAAACTATCTTGCTTCAATATGGACTTTCTCTTTGAAAACGTGTCACAGTTTTTAGCCAAGTTTAGCCTCTCGGCGACTCAAACTTAACTGGGGATTGAGCCGCCACACTTACTTTGGCATTTACCACTTGATTGACGTCCAGGTAAGCTGAGATCTCATCTTTCCTAACATGCAGTTCACCACGCATGGGCTGCCAATCACAGACGAGCTGATGAGCTAGTTAGCCAATTTATACAATTAAAGAAAGGGTTTGAAATGCACTGAGTTGTATTGTGCCATACGGGGTCAGGCAGTTATGAGGGCCTCACCTCCTCATCTGAAGCGCTTATGCGGCGCAATTAGTGTAAGCGCTCATTATCGTCTAATCAAGTCCTTCTCTTTGGTTCCTCATCGTCCGTCCTCCCTGGTGTTCTGTCCCCTCTCTCCCTGTTCATGTTCACGTCTTCCAGGTGTTTCTGTAAATATGCTTCCACAAACCTCCATCTGTGGAGGTGAATGCTAACTGTTTAGAGGAGCGATGCAAACGGAGGATACATGATGAGAATGATCTCCACGGTGAAGTCCTTACTCAGAGGAACTTTCTGATGTCTGGGTTCAGACTGTGTGTGAATATGAAGCGTCTGAAGGAAACAGAGTTAGGGAAGTGGTTGGTGAGTGTGTGTGTGTGTGTGTGTGTGTGTGTGTGTGTGTGTGTGTGTGTGTGTGTGTGTGTGTGAGTGTGTGTGTAGTGAGAGTTCTTCCGAAAGGAGAGGATTCTCTATAAATCACGGCCAGTCCAATTGGCTATGGATTGAGTTGCAGCGGGGAGAGACAGCTCCCTGGGAATAGCAGTGTCTCTGTTGAAGTCATTCCAAGATGGGTAATATGATCCTATGCCGCCAGGAATAAAGAAAGGGAAGAGAAAAGGAGGAAAAAAAACGTGATTGCTCCGGCCATAAAGAGGAGTAATCTCCAGCAGGGTCAGACACATCACCCGTCACGCCGGACTGTAATGTATTATAGTCTCACAGGCAGATGATGTGACACATGGTGGGCCACACTTTTCTGATGGTTCAAGAACTCATTTTTCTCCTTATTCAAGGAATTTTTCAAATCTCATATTGACGTAGTTGGAAGATGTGGAAGGTCTATGGGAAAACAAAGGAAGGCCATTTCTGGTGCCAAGGAAAGGAAGTCCAATTACTAGGAACTGATGGCAACCCTACCAACACAATTAACACCAATTTAATGAGAATTTCCTGTAGCTTAAAGGCATTTACTGATCTTCAGATCGACCACTACAGATCGTAGGCCATCAGAATTACTCGTAGTCATCTGGGATTTAACATTGGATTGTCCAACAACATTCTCAGTTCACAAGAGTGTTTATGGACTAACACGTAATGAAAAACAGTACTTTACTGTAAGTGTAAGCACTTTTCCGTACCACCTCGAGCTTAATTAACATGCGGAGTGCAGTGTGGTGACAGAATTGGCCGCCCTCAATCTGCCTGAGCCACCTTCAGCTTTAGGCGCTGAGACCTGCAAGACTGCAGGCTTCAATAAATGTCGCGGGAGAAGATGATCACAACTCAAATTAAGTTAAGCACTAAGCTCGAAGGGCTTACATAAACATGTGATGGAAATATTAAACAAACTGCGGGAATAGTAGGGGGAGATGGTTAAAGAAAAATCCTGATGCAACTTGAAAACCATTTGAATTAGTGCAATTGGGTGAATAATTTGCCCAGATGTTGAATTGTCATTGATGACTGAACATTGCACATGTACAATAAATCACCGTCCCCCATGTTTTTCAGAGAAAGGCACTTAGTAGCGGTTGGTGTGAATAAGAGGTAAAAGTAAAATGCAGGTGGCAGAAGTAGCCCAAACAACAAGCACTGCAGGAACCAAGGGCATGTGGGCTATAGAGCTGCTGGGGGGTGGGCGGGGGGGGGAGTGACAGACTGCTGTTCAACTCCATTAGCTGCTATGTGAGAGGGGTGCATCTAGCAGCACACGACCTGTGAAGAATCTTAGATCTCACTCTATCTTGGAATGGGGATTGGCGCATTAATTCTAGGAAACTGTAATCTCTCAAGCAAATCAAATTACTCTCATTAAGCGCAAGAAGAAAACTGCCTCTGTAATAAGTATGTATAAAAAGTATTTATTACCAATAATCACCTCTTTAATATGACTTCGCTTACAACGGCTTTTTTATTTTTGCTGATTAAGTTTAAAAACGGGGAAACAAGGAAGGGCACACGCTCATATGCGTGGCTTTTCGCGCCCACACACACACAAGCAAACACACACACACACTAATACACAGCTCATGGAGTTTATGAGAGCGGTTGATACAGTGATTAAAGGGGAGGGTAGAGGGACACAGTACTTGAGGGCCATGGAGAGGACGTGCCTCACCTAGTCATAAAAACACACCTCTGTCTTTAAGCCGGCACCGGAATCGCTCTCGGTGGGTTCACTCGGAGGTGAATCGCTCAAGAATTTACATGCAAAGTAGCACATGTCATCACCCAGACTCGCACACGTAGCGCTGCGTTGTAACTTGGCATACGCTCACTGACCGCCGCATATTTGCTGCGGTTTGTGAGGTTGACCCTGAGCAACAATGCTATTTCTGAGATACACACATCTGCTGTAGCCTCTCATTTGCATAATGTATGTACATGCAAGTCTTACTACTCCACCAACAGTATGTTGAATGGCCCGATAATGCTCATTTTCAGGTTCATATTTATATGTTGTGTCTCTCCTGTGACATGTCTCCATGCTTGAATGTTCAAAAAGCTCTTTATTTATCTCACACTGCCTGTGCTGCAGCACCTCTTTTCACCCTCTGTCTGAAACCAGAGCCCAGTCTGTTCTGATTGGTTAGCTGGTCGGCTCTGTTGTGATTGGTCAACCGCTTGGAGATGTCCCGCCCCTTAGCCTATCACGTACAATGTGATGTCACTATGTCACAGAAGTAAACAAAGGAGTCCAATGGAGGCGATTTGTTTTGTGTGGGAGACCAACTCGCTCTGGAGGGAACTTTGAGATTTTAGCATTTGCAGACCATTTACATGCACTTAAACCTATAGAACCAGGGTATATGCACGAATCCTGAAGTCAAATGTAATACCTTTTAAGTCCTTTTTTAAGACCCTTTCAGTTTAAGAACTCATCGCCACTTTGAGTTTTAACCGGTTACACACTTTACCTCACATTGACTATATACAGTATGGATTGTCCTTCCTCCTTATCTTCCAACCATTTGGACGCAAACTTGCATTTCCCCATAACGATGTTGTTTTCAACCGGCGTAAACGGGCCTTTGCACGCTATCAAGCAGTGAGCGTGCGATGTCCTGTTCAGATGACGTCAAACCCAACGGGGTGCCATAAATAAACTACACAGAATCACACTACACACCTACGCAATGATTACCTTCAGGCAGACTGTAGAATACAACCTCTTTGGACAATTTAAATACTTATTGAAAACAAGCTACAAAATGTAACACCTTGGAAAATGCCGTTTAATATTTTTTAATAGCCTTAATTTTCGCTAAATTGATTTATCAACTTTTAATACTTTCTAAGACCCCGCGGACACCCCGAGAACACACTACTGGAGCAAAAAAAAAAATAGAAAGTGTTACAGGGCTCCTTCGATGTTATGCATGTGTTTTAAACAGCCTATAAAGCTTAATAACAGTGCACGGCATAATGACTTGAAGAGTTAGGGATAGGGTTAGTATATGCCAGGATATGACATCATTCCACAGAGCTGCCAACTATAATTGCCTTGCTAGTAAATGGAAGAGACATCCTCCAACCTACTATTTGATTCTTTATTCACATAACCAATTAATTACTTCTGAAAAAAAGGGACAAAAACACATCAAAATGGGTGAGGGAAAAAAAAGATTGCCTCTACAAAATCAATTAGGACTGAGGGTCAGTGGGTCATTCATTTACTGGTTCAGCATAATTACCTGTTTTTCTTCCTCTCATTTACTGCTTTATTCATCTGGGACACTGGTGTCCCCGCAAACCAAAAGAAGGCACTTTTTTCTTTGTGATTATTCAAATTAAACATGGATTCCTGTGAGAAAACGTTGAAGGACTAGAATGCGCCGGAGCTAATGTGCTCCAAAAACAAACTCCCCTGAAGCTAAATGAGGGAATTCTATTAGATGTCAGCCTAAATTCTCTTCGTGTTTTTTTACAGGTAATAAATAAATAAATACAGAATCAAATTAGAAATCCCAAATTGATCTGATGAATATGAAAATATGCCTTCATCTGATACTGAGCTTGACAAGAAGACAGGTTTCAGCAGTGATGTTGCCCTGTGGCTACAAATGTCTTCTTCTTTCCCTTTCTTTCAAAGAGGCCGTATCCACTCCTGCCTGTCGGAGAGTGGCTAAAAACACACAAAGACATTTAGAAACTGCCTTGCATTTAGATAAAGTCAAAAGGTGCTTCTCTTTTAACAGATATTCATGACTCCTCACATTAACACTTCGTAAGAACAATTATTGTGATTGCAGGACTCTTGTGAGGCTTTTTCCTTACTCTCCGAAACATCTGGTTGAAATATGTAGGGCAAGTGCTTGCTTCCTGGCTCGCGCTCAGGTGGTTAAAATAGACAGAAGACGTATTAATAGAGTGGTGGGTAACTTTCCATTTTTCCTCCCCTCTAGGTTACAATCCTTTTCTTTTCCCCTTTCGGTGGCGAGTCAGCGAAAAGGCATGAGCTGTGGCTCCCCACATGCCACCTGCCGGGAAGTGATCCTTCTCTGGGGTGTGTCAGGACACGCAGCTGAGCGTTTAGCCCACGCTCCTGTAGGCAGAGATACACGCGGGCACTTCTTCATTCATGACTTCAAATAAAGCAAGAAAAGTCTTGGAATCACCGGCAGACCTGACCCAAAGCGAGTCTAGGGAAAACAGTTCCACTAATGGCAGAATGAGTGGGCTTTTCCTACTAAACAATTCATAGATTGCTTGTGTCTGACCCTGCAGCTGGAGATGTCACAATACCAGACATTTGGAAGTTGATTGCAACATCGGTGAAATCCCATGATTCTTGACACTAATTCGTGACCAAGATTACAAACTAGAAGGGGAAGAACACATACTTTGTTTAAAACCAAAGGGGACATTCACTTTAACATATTTTGTTATTTTACGTAACATCACACAGATAGGCCTGAAGTATACACACTCGCCAGCTAACAGTCCACTCATGGTTCTCGGTCCAATCGGGGCTTGAACCAGCAAACCCTCCAGTTCAAAAGAAAATACCCCACGTACTAGAAAAGAAAACAATAAATCCCTTGTACTTTAGCAACACTCCTTTTACCTGCCCCCATTAATTACATTTATTTATGATGGAGCATGAACGCACCATAGTGTAATTTTAAGAAGACAAGTAGACAAATCTCATTACAAACAAGCGTTCTCCTACTTCACTTCACTTCACCCCAAAGGGGCGTGAGGTTCTGATGGCGTTATTATGCTCTGTCCCGCCCCCTTAGCCTATCACGTATCACTTAGCCCTGCCTGAAACGCCTACATTGGATTCCTTTGATTAATTCCTTGATATCAATATGTAACACTTGCTCTTCAATTGGCTAACGCTCCATCACATGATGACACATGATAGACTAATGGGTGGGACAAGTGACAAATCACAACAGAGCCAGCAAGGTAACCAATCAGAGCAGACTGGGCTCTGGTTTCAGACAGAGGGTGAAAAGAGGTGCTGCAGCACAGGCAGTATGAGAACAATAAAGAGCTTTTTGAACATTAAAGCATGGAGACATGTCACAGTAGAGACACTAAATACTAATATGAACCTGAATATGTAATAAAGGATAAATGAACCATTTCCAAAACATTTTCTTCAAATGATCTTGTTTTGTTGCATTTCCTTGTGTTCTTGTGTAGAGAGCCAGACAGACGAGGAGTCGAGAGGAGAGCAGAGCAGAGGCGACTGTGATAATTGACCAAGATGCTGCTACCACTGAGTCCTCGTCCTCTCACCTCCAAATCCCAGCAGGCCCTGTTTTCAATTTAACACAGGACTTGACCAGATTTCGCTCATTGCAGGGCAAAGGCACATCTTTGACACTTTTACATTAGAAGCACAGCTTTCTGCCGATTAAAAACCTTCCCTCTGCCTCTCTCTTTCTACCGCTGTATGGCAGGAGGTAATGTGAGAGGGGTGTCCATTTCCTGTCCCTCCTTTCCCCCCCAAATCAACCACAAATAACTCGCAGCCTCCTGCACCCTATCTTGATTTCACTCCAGGAGATAAGGACACCATTTATTGTCTTCATCGAGCTTGAGTGCTAAGACAGAGAGCACGGAATTACTCTCAGATTGAGATAAATACACCACAAATCGCTAATTCAATCCGTCTTCGATGCCGGTGATGTTTTGAAGAGAGGGAGGGGGATATCAAAAGATCGCACTGTGAAACCGGAGTCTGGTGGCGTGATACCGGCAGGAGACCTCATCAAACTGAGAAGAAAAGCTAACTGTAACCTGAGTCAGAATTCCCTTTGGAGAGGCAGAGAGCTGGCACGATATGGCTGAGTATTAAATATGGCTTTTATTGGCATCCTTCATAGCTGTGATGGAAATGGACTTATAAGAGAACAGACTGAATATGTATCACCATTTGGGCTCTTTGACGTTCATGACAAAAGAGAGCTGGACATAAATGAGTAATTGTGTTTACATACACCACATATTATGGTGTATTCTGAAAAATACAATCTTCCGAAAATGCTGTTTACAAATCTAAGAAAATCTATATTCCCTTTCGTTCACTCGAGCATACGAAGCCTCCATCTTCGATTCCCTCAAACATATTCTGACTGAGTTGAATGAAACAAAGTATTTGATAAAGTTTACACACAAGTATGTTTTGGATCTACCCAGAAATGGGCTTTTCTTTTCGGCATGCATCTTTATTTGGTTTCTTAACAATGCACTAGTTGTCGACAAACAGTCATATGATTGTGCGGACTAATATGAGTTTATCCGCTTACAGATATTTTAAACATGTGAGAGTTGGAGCAGTGATGACATTGGGATAATGCTGTGTGTATTCTTGACCCATATCAAAGTCAGAATAATGTCATATTCCAGAATAATAGTGGAATATTAGTGTAACTGAAAGGTATTCGGTGGCTGTAGTGCTGGTGAGGGGCTGAGGGGGGCACAGTATTTACTGATGTGGTTATCTTGTCCTGTGACAGGCAGGACCACTCAATCAGCGCTCAGGCAAGCATTACACACACACTCCTGGGGAGGAGGCGTCAGCCAGATCTGATCAACCAATGCAGTTCCCCCGTGCCACAGATATCTGAGATGAAGATGATTATATGTGGAAGGGATGGAGACAGCATAGAGGGGAAGCGACAGAAAGAAAAGAGTGAAACCTGGAGGGGGAACCTCCTCTAAAGGCAAGGAGATAAGTGTATTTTAATAAGAACCATGTGCGTCACTCCCTTTACCAGATCAAAGAGCCGAGCATTTATATTCTGGAGACGGTCTAACATTAATACAAAAAACAAAAAAATCGTCCGTCCAGTAGAGTTACAAACCAATTAAAAACACAATCCTGGCACAGTCCAGCTGACATTTATAATAATTCCTCTTTAGAAAGTATTGACGTGTATATGTTATTAAAAGGTTACGAGAAATTTGCATTTAGCAATGAGGAAAAATAAATATAGTGTTGAGTGTGCAGATAAGAGCTCAGTAATTAGGAGTAGGTATTGCGTGGTGGAAAACATTTGAAGAATAAACCTGGACTAGTTTGCTTCTTTCCCCGTTGCCCTAAAGATATTTTACATTATTCAATCCAAAATACCATCTTTCTGATTCTAACTTTTCTTTTTGCATGTTAATGTTTAATAAGAGCCCTTGGCTATCTATGGGCACAATTATTAGATATCCGCAGAGAGAAATTGAAAAATTAATCATACTCTCAATTTGTGTACTTCTCTGATCCATTGGAAATGGCTTTAAGAGATGTGCCCCCCCCGCCCCCCCCCCCTGTCACATGCTGACTCTAAACACAATCAATCCGCTGCCAGAGAGGAGTTGCTTGTGCAACAAAGACAATTGCATCAATACGGTAATTAACTGATTATTTATATGGTGGCACTGATGCACAACAACACTGATGAGCCTGTAACAAGTGGAGAGAATTACAGGGGTGCTTTACTTTGGCATAACACAATAGGTGTTTATTAAGTGACAAGAATGAGGAAAACAGGATTATATTGCTCCTACATTAGCTACTCTGCACTGGCTCCTATTAGCAGCCACACTAGAATCAACTATGTTCAAAAAAGTCTTTATCTTTCTCATAGTGCTGCAGCACCTCTTTTCACCCTCTGTCTGAAACCAGAGCGCAGTCTGTTCTGATTGGTTAGCTTGCCACCGCTGTTGTGATTGGTCAACTGAGATGTCCCGCACCTTAGCACGTACAATGTGTTGGACCGCCAGCCAATAGAAGCATCAGTTTTTATGTCACTCTGTTGCAGAAGTAAACAAAGGAGTCCAATGGAGAAGTTTCAGGCGTTTCAAAGAGAGGGAAAAACCCCATCTGGAGGTACCTTAGTGATTTTAGCCTTTGCAGACCATTTACATGCATTAAAACCTATAAGCTTTCCTTTTTGATAAATCTTATAGCTAGGGCTGGCTCAGACTTGTCATGAACATCGTCCTGGATCCTACTTTATATTGTATTTTATTTTTTATTAACATCATTTCATTTGTATTTTAGATTTACATTGCCATTTGTATTTTCTATGTTGTAATTTTCTTGGTTTTTGAACACTGTCAATTATGTTAGTTGATCTATACAAACTGTAAAAACCACTTGAGACAAATGTGTTTTGTGATATTAAGCTTTATCATTTGATTTGAACCATCCACAGTGTTATACAAAGTAGCACAGTGTATTATGTGTGAGAGTTAAAAGGTACAGGCAGAAGGGACATATCTCTCTATTGGCCCTGAGCATTACTGTTAGATGACACATTCTTACAGTACACACTCTCTGAAAAGTGCCGTAATAGGATGCATAATCAGAGGAAATAGTTCCAAACAAAACAATGACTTGGACCAGGTGCAGTTTTTCTATCCATACAACTCAATTACCCGTGCGTGGGCCCTGTAGGTTTTCTATAATCCTTGTTTTGGCCCCTCACCATCACTGTACGCAATCTATGCTAATACAATGTAGCGGCTATAACATATGCTAATGTGCAGACAAAACAGCATTAAGTTGACAGAGGGATGTATTCCACACTATCAAGATTCCAAGTGGCAATTTTAGCTTTTGAAAGGCATGTATACAATAAGATATTATGCAGATTACCAAAATGTCAGCACTGCTTAAATACTTACATTTCTATGCATCATCATTCTCTTGCACACATACATATTATGGCTAAACATATTTACAGTACAAGTGGAATAAAGTGGGATTGTATGGCAATCATTTTGATCTACAAAACCAAAACCCACCTGTTCAACACTGCATTCAACCACTGACCACCCCCCTCCACCCCTATTTTCTGTTTTGTTTATCTCTTTTTGTATTTTTTTTTTTTTTTGTTGTCTTTTCTTAATTCTCTGTCAAAGCGTCTTTGAGTTTCATGAAAAGCGCTATAAAAGTCCCATGTATTATTATTATTTTATTATTACAAAAGCATTGCCATTGACTAAAAGTAAATAGTTGATTAGTATATTTTACTAACAGCACAAAGGTAAATGTATGCAGTAACTTATATAGGTTACATTTTTACAAACTTGAGGATGTATCCATGCAAAAAGCAACAACTATGTACATTTCTTTAACAGAAGAAGGTATAATTGAGTTAAAAATATGCAAACTAAGAAAATGTATAACAATGCCTAACATTGTTCAGGCTTGTAGGATTACAAAATTAACATAATTCAGTATAATTGTAGTACTACTTTAGACTTGTATATGTGTTGTCTCAAAGCACCAGCATGTCTTAATGTCTCAATATCGCAATCAAATAAGGTTTTTTTTCTTACAATGTATCTTCTTTAACTGTGTGTATGTACGCACCAGTATACACCAGGGCACATTCCTCGTATGAGTAAACTGATTTCTGAGGTCATCTGGAGCACTGAATGTATGTACTTGTTGTAGGCTCTGTGCAGACCCAACACTTCAGTGTACAGCATGCACTGATTACTGACTGATCACTGAGGAGTGATTAGGATAGTTATTTAAGCTAGTATCCTAGCAACAAAAAAGGTAGTGGAGCTGCAAATAATGATTATTTTATTATTGATTAATCTGACCTTTATTTTATGGATTAAATTATTAATGTACGGTCCATAAAATGTAAAAAATAAAATATCAAAATGAAGTCCATTAATGTGTTTCACTCCAAAGAGTATTTGGTTTAATACGATAAACAATAGCAGAATTTTCTGATATTTCTGCTCCAATAAAAAATAAAATGCAAAGCTGCTACGATTAAGCGACAAGCGATTAGTCGACTAATGGTTGCAGCTTTAGATCAATCTGCTCTAAAAGGCAGTCTGTTTTTTTTTTTAAATCTTTGGGCAGTAGCCACAATTTAAAGTCAGAATCAGAATAACACTGTGACCGTGTCTCGGGACAGGTCACCTGAACTGCTTGATAAATCGTTTCCAGTATCCCAGTTTTATTAGCATTTCAATATTAAATGTAGCATCGAGCGTCTGAGAGACATTACTTGTACTGTGTGTGTCTGAGAACCAGGCCAGTGATGGATCTTGTGTGCTCTCCATCTGCCTCCCAGTACACTCATGTAGGACTTACTCAATTTCCTCTACCATGCTTCAAACCCCGACACACACACACACACACACACACACACACACACACACACACACACACACACACACACACACACACACACACACACACACACACACACACACACACACACACACTACC